AGACAAGGTAGATGGATACATGGATAAAGGTCGAACCTGGGGTAGGAGTTGGGGGAGACAATATATTGAAATCAGAGCATGATTATTATTAGAGAACACGGGAATTTGCTCCTCAGAGCCCGGCAGTCTCTGTTCAGAAGCCTGTTTCCACAGAGAACAGTAGGGATCAGTTAGTTTAAATATTTAATTCTGCTCTGCCTGGCTTCTTCCTTTATACTGAATATAGTCATTAGGCCCAAGAAGTCATTAAAGTGTTTAATAAGGTTATTAAATTGAGTAACTGCTGCTGCTGCAGCAGTTTTCATAGGAAATCCATATGATTCTAGGTCTGGAACTTGGAGCTGTCCTCTGTGGCTGACAGGCTGTCAACATTCCTTTGAAGGATGGTGGGTCGCATCGTGAGGGATGCGTCTAATTAAGAGATTAGAGGTGAACCTTGGCTTCCTGGGTGTACTATTCGTGGCTGGAAGTATGGTGAAACTTCACTAATTTCTACTAATTGCAGGATGGGGGAGAGGGGGCCATCTGAATTATAGAATATTTTAAAATAAGTGTACTTTTATTACTTTCAAGTACATATTTTAACTCCAACTAAGCAAACAAATTGTTGTCTGGTACAAGTCTTTGGGGACCCAAGTTATTGAAGCTATCAGAATGATTTTCAATTATTTCTATGTAAATAGGTGCTTCTGGAGTTCTTTAGGGTGTTCAAAAACAGTTGGTTCTCATAGATCTTAAACACTGCTCTTGCAGCCGTATGCTGTTAATTGGCACACCCTTACAGGAAGGGGTTTGTTAGATGAAGATAAACTTTAGACCAGCTGCTAAATAACTTATTATTAATTCATGAAGTCCAAGAACTCAAGTGGATGAGGTTTTTATTTCAACTGAAGTTTGATCTCGTTTTTTTTTTTCTGAAAGGCATTCATTCATTCTTTCAGACGTTCATTTATTCACAAAGTGATATTGATAGAATGCATTGGTTGTGCCAGGCACTCAAGTCATACAAGACAGCCTAAGCTATGCTAGAGGCGCTTAGCATCTAATAGAGGAGACTTACAGGTAAGGACGGTACAGTAAGGCCTGATGAGTAGGGGCAGTGCCCAAGGCTTGCCCAGAGGCATCAGGGGCTCAGAGGAAGGTCAAACCGATAAATCAGTTTGGATGAATGGGAGGATTTCTAGAGGGATTCTGGAAAGATTTCCAGAGACGGAGCTGCATTTTGGAAAATGAACTGGAGTTAGCAGCAAATAATAGAGGGAAGATGAAGATGATGAAGAAAAAAGCAGAAAGCAGGGTGGGGACAGCAGTCCAAGTAGAGAGAACAGCTCATTCGAAGGCATGGAGGTGTAACATGGCATGTCGTGTGTGGAAACTTAAGCTCAGCCTTTGGAGATAAGTGGAGTGAAAATCAAGAAAGGCTCAATTGTGCTAGCTAAGAAGTTTGAACTTGATCTTGAAAGTTATGGAGCAGGTTTTGAAGGATTT